AGTTAGTCAGCAGGACGAGGCAGTAATCAGATTTTCCATACAGCTGGCAATTCAAATAAAAAGGATTGCTGCTCTGAAGATAAAAAGAAGAAGAAAAAAAGAGAGAGATAAGAAAAGGTAAAATTATGGACTTGTGTATTTGCCAGGACTTGTTCAGTATAAAAAGCAAAGCAGAAACACAAAAACAACTTATGCTTAGAATGACAAGGATGAACTGTTATTTGCTAAGGATTCATCATATTCAAAATCAGATTGTTTTGTAGCTTTCTAGAAGACTTAACTGTGGTATTTCTGGTGTAAAATACTGATACTGTTACAATTATGTTTACGGTATGAAATGAATTGTTCTCTGTGATGCTGACCAGTTGTGACACGTAACACAGTCTCCCTAAAGCAGCGTGCATGCTTATTGCTGTAAAATAAGATTTTTTTTGCAGTTAACAATGAAAGAACATCTTGTTATCGCTTGTGTGAAGTCATGTAGTTTAAATGACAGAGAAGAGAACATGAAAATACCTGTAAAGCAGAAATTTGGGGGAGGAATCTTCCTAGTAGTTATGACTAGTTATGGTAGTAGTTATGACTAAGTTTAATAATGTCAAAATAGTAATGGGAATTTTAAAGAGCCTGGATTAAAATCCATGTAGGTTTATGTACACGATCCTTTTCCTTACACTTTAAAGCATAAAAATGTACATGACATTAAAAAGTTTTACAAATTTCAAGTGCATTTAAATTAACACTGCATTTAAAAGGAAACATTTCCTGGCATGTCTATAGTTGTTCTGTGCATCGTTCACCACGGTTTACCAGCTTGCTGATTATCTATCTAAAAGAAACACTCTGCCGTCATTTCTAAAGCTGTCTCTGTTGCATTCTTGCTCGGGGAATGGTTGCATGCAAAGCCATGGGGTTAACACCTGCCTTCCCTGGAACTGATGGTAAAATTGCCATTAGCTTCACTAAGATTAGTTTTAATTCAGTATGCTGTTACTTTTATTAGTACTGTTTAGAACTTAAACATTTTTTTCTGCGCATATAAAAGGTAGATTAATGATTCTTTCTGCAAGCAGGAGCATGCACCGAGTCTGAGGCAGCTGAGCAGGCACGCAGCTCACTAACCACGCAGCCTTCTTTTGCCACTGACTGTGGGTTTTTTCCCCCAGACTGAAGTTTCTCCCTAACAAGAAGAAATATTTTCTGCCAGAAACACAGAGAAATTCCCCTTTGAATTTTTAGCTGCTAGCTTGCAACCTATACAGAGACTTATACTACTGAATAGATGACTGTTATTTTGACACGCAAGATATTCATGGAAATAATTAAACTCCTTTTACCTATTCTATCATTGCCATAAAGAGATCCATTAAGAAATGTGGATAGCCAGATCAAGCCGTGTCTAAACCATCCGTGATCAGAAACAAAAGATGATTCAGCATTTACAGAAGTAAAGCATACAGAGGAACCGGGCAGTGGATAGATTAAGGCTAACGGGAACTTCAATAAAATAAACAGCTGCACGAGCAGCAACCATTTCTGCTAGTGACCGATCACCTTAATGAAAAGATAATGATGCCAAACACACCAGAGGAAACAAAGAAATCTGAACCATGGCTCCAAGAGCTGATTTTACAGCAGTAAAGAAACAGGGAGTCTAAAGAAGACTTTGTCCAAAGCAGGAAAATTGAACATCATTAGAAATAAAATATCTCATTCCATGTTGGCAAAGTCTTAAACAGTGTATGCATAGTTTGACCAGCAATCTGTCATGGTAACCTGGTCGAGATCAGAAACCAAAAGGATATTAGCATTATTTAAGTAATCTGCTCACTTTGGTTTTATAGGCTGTTCTACTTTCTTTCATAGTTCAATCAAATTTGTGTTACTGATTCTATGCAATAATTTTCCATAACTTTATATAAGAATTCCTCCTTTACCTACACACTAACAGTGACAAATAAATTTACTGGTTTATAAACTAGCTAGCAATAAGTGAAATTAATACATATATCTTACTGTACCTATTTGGTATAGACAAGGAATTTAGACGAAATGGAGAGGACGTTGATGTTTTTCTCTTTTCCATACAATATTTCAACTTCAACAAAAGCTCCCCACACTCTACATTAAATATGCAGTAGATTTCTCACATGATTTTTTTAGAGGTTTGCCTATTTTATTAGTAACTAAAGCAAAAATTGAGCTATACTCCAGGAAAATTAGGCAATAATATTTAGCCAATAGCTTTAATAGAAGAAACTTCTTTCATTTTATAAAAAAAACCACAACAACAAAGAAACAAGCAAACAAAAAAAACAATTTAAATAAAATAGCTATTTAAAAGAAATGAAGCATCTGATCTTCAAGTAAGTAGGGAGCATGACTTACCGTGGAAGGGACAACTGGGTAACCCGAGCACACAAACGTCATTGAGATCCAAAGAATGAAGACAAAGTTTAACCTGCATAGACTTCAAAGAACAACTGAGATCAGTCAAAATTAAAAAAAAAATCAAGCAAAACTACATGCATACACGTAAACACACAAACAGAATATTTTCTCCCCATACAAAGTAATCTGCAGTGCCTTTACCTGGTCATTTTTTACTCAGGAGTGTATATGTATGTACATGCAGTTATACTACCAAGTTCCTCACATATCCTTTCACTTCTTTCTTAGATGACCATTTTATACCAGAGTTCAGGAGTGAAAATGTCATCAAAGCTGATTTTATTATGACTAATTGGTCCTTGTTTGGCCTTTTCTTCTTGTTAAATGGGAAAATGGCAAGAAGACACATTCAGCTGCCATTATGAAACTACCAATTGATCTCATTTAAAGTGTTCCATTAAAATGTCTCTCAAGTGGGTTTACTGTTAAGTCTGTATCATCACAGCAAATATGGTCAAAGGTCTGAAGATTTCAAAACACATTTCAAGAATGCCTTACCATTTCCAATAGATCATGTTAAGACCCTGTAAAGCCTGGCTGCAAGGGAAAAACAGTAAAAGTGCACTTTAAGTAGTTCCTCAAAGAATCTTATTATACTCAGAGCAGCTACATAGAACAATACGTAACAATATATATAGCTTTTTCTTTTTCTTCCCCCCTTTTTTTTTACATGCTTGTTTTAATGCACCCGATGTGTAAGTGTTTTTCTTAAAACTTCAGTTATTTGGACATTAATTTCCTCTCTTGCATGCAGACGTAACAGCCTATGTTAAGTTTATCCAATCAAATCTTCTGTAGGATTATTAAATTCTGTTAACCTCCATCAATGGAGCAAATGTTTAATGTCTAAAAGCACCATTTGTTACTGCAACAAATTTAATTGGGCAACATTTAATTTAATTGCACAACATTTTAGGGGATCCTGTGGTTTATTTAAACAGAGTACTGTAAAAGCAGCAAGAGTCCCACAAAGTCTGTGAATGTTAGACTACACAGGCAAGGGAATGCTGAAAAACATTAAATTTAATTCTTTTTTCTTAGAATGAAAACGCTAAGGATCTTTTTTTGACAGTCACCCAGCATTAGACGTGCATGCCAGTGACTCAGCAGCCTCTAATGTCGCATTCCCTTCAGTGGTTACACTGAAAAATCAGCGTACAAGGGCTCCAGAAGGGAACTCTGTGTGAGCCTTTGGGGAGACCTGAGCTGTTATAAATTACGGCAACTTTAACTGGAACATTCAGTCTCCTGATGTAGATGCGTTTAATTCCAGAAGGTAGAAAGCAGTAAGGTCTTCACATAAGGCCAGAAGAAATACCGTGGCAAGTAAGAGCCTTTAACAGTTTTTATAGAAAAACACATAATTTGATCTCAGATGGTGGTTGAATATTTTTTAATCACCACTGTACATGCCAGTGCTGATCATGTCAATGGTTGATATAATCCAATGACTCTTAAATTCCTTAAAAAATGTACGTGCTTGTAGTTGCTGGTGAAGTACTTCAGGATTCTTCAGGACCAACAGGACTATAGAAATGTAAGATGAAATTAGCCTCATTTAAACACCACAGTAAGCAATCCATTTATAAAACCCTTCAAGAGAACATTTGACTATTTGCATATTCAGTATGTGTCCTCTTATTCAGAGAGAAAATCCTTTCATTTGAATTGAACATCCTGTTCCGACTCGTACAGGACCTCCAACTCCAACTGATAAGCGGATTAGCCCGTGTTTCTGCTGCAATGAAAAGCACGTCGGGTTGGATTCTGCTTGAGCATAGTTTAGTGTCAGCTTTCATTGTATCTGCATTTAGTTTAAATCTGTTTTAATACAAAATTAACCTTCACAAAACATTATTTGTGGAAGACGAGGAGCAAGAAAAGCCTTGTCATTAAAGTTCAGGATTTCTAGGTTCAACGTGGAGCTTGTACCTTAGACTCTCCGGGTAACCTGTGGTGCATTATTGACTCAGGTTTTTCAAATCATGAGTTGTTTGAGTCCCTGGTGACCTCCCATTTTGCCTGGTCAGTACCTCCTACGCTTACCATTATCACACCCCTTTAAAACAGGGGATTTGGCCGCATTTCTAGCTCATAAGCTTTGGACATGAGAGGTGCCCAGTGCCTTTCTCTGTAGGCACCTTCAGCATGAGCAGGTGGTGAGAGAACAACCAAGTGAGGCCACCAAGCAGCTCCCAGGGGACACCAAGGAGATGGCCATGCTGGCCTGGACAGGAGGAAGCTTTGTGGAGCCTGAAGCAAAGCAGCAGATTAGAGAAACTTTGAACAACATAGGAAGACAGCTCTTGTGTGACTTTCTAAGGAAGGACAAAAAGATGGTCAAATATGCTCGTTAAGGATGTTTCACGCAGCAGGTGGGAAAGAGGCTCATATGGCAGCAAATCTCCCAAACACTTTGCAAAACCAATCGCATCTGGTCTGAACACTAGGAAGAAAATAATGGCTAACATGAGGGTTTCCATGTATTTCATTCATGCTCGTATTATAAATGCTCACAGTAAGATCTTTCTCAGCAAAATCCTTTAGCCTGCTTTCTATTTCCAATTCTGCTTAAAAGTCACCTGTGATAGATTGTGGGCCTTAGGACCAGCTCTAAGAGGACACAGGCAAGTAATGTTTGGGATTTTCTCCCCCAGAATCCAAGAGCAGATTCCACCTTTTCAAAGGCTTTGACCAGCTGAGCAACCACAACCTGCCTTCACCCAAGGCAGATGCAGATCACAGTTAGGCGAGCTATTGAGATATCACCAGCCCAGATCTGGGCTCAAGGGGTTTGTCCACCTCTGAGAGGGACAGAAGTGGTATTATCTGAACAGAGAGAAGATTCAAGCTCTCACGTTCGTTTCTCACTTCTTTGAGGTTTTTTTTTTTTTAGCTATTCAGGATGCAATTGAACGCACCACAACTGTGATTTGCATGCATGAAGTGTGTATGGAGATTTAGATACATTCAAGATATTCCCACTTCAGGTTTGGATGAATCAGGTTTAACAGAACAAGTGGCAATTGACATTTCTGGCTTCTACTCTGTCTGCAGAGCACCCAGTCTGAGGCCTTGCTCCCAGGTAAGGTTCACTGGTAGGTATCATAGGTCATACGAATCATTAAGAACCATAATAAACATTCCCAGCATCCATAAAATTTGCATTTTATGAGAATAAATTAGCAGCCATATTTTCCACTTCCCTGCAAAGCAAACAACATCACCCCTTCCCTCCTGCTTGCTTTATTAAAGGAATAGTGTATTGAACCTCACTGCTGCTTGTTTGGTTCCCCACGAAAAACTTACCAAACACAACACATAGCTTGCTGATAAGCCTATTGAGCCTTGCAACTTAATAAGGTTAATAGGCCTATATGTTTAAGAACATGATATTTCCCTCCCCCATCACAGTAGTAAATCTAAAGTGTTCAAATGGGCATTGTGCACCTTTGCTAAGGGATCAATATAATAAAAATGAAGGAATACGCCAAAGACTATCTGCATGGTCCATTGGTATAACCGCAAATATTGTAAAACCATAGGGGGTTAGCGGTCTGGATAAAGGCAAGGTGCTAAATCTCATCATTCCCCTCCAAGATGTTCACAGTGAAACCACAGCATGGCTTTTTTTTGAGACAGCTGCCTGGATATTTTGCTCCAAGCTTGAAGTTTTTCCTGCTTTCAAGAATATCAAGAAACCAAAGAGCCAGGATGGTTTGCTTTGAGAGCATGGCAAGGTGCAAAATGGAAATCAATCATACTCACAGCCTATAAATCTGTTTCTGACTCAGTGATAATAGAAAATCCCAGCAAGACACAAAGACAGAAGAAAAACAGAAGTCAGAAAGCAGGTTTATTCCTTCGGTTGTTATTGCTGTGTTCTCACTACCAGCAAGGGGACGCAACCAAACCCTTCACTTGCACGGCTGAGATCTCACCTACAGAGGCACAAAGGAGCGAAAAAGTTGCTGTAGGTGCACACTTGACTACTTCTGTGCATTTCCCTGCCAGGACTGTTTCTAATCCCCTTAAACTCGGTTATGATCCAGAAAGAGCACATCCCTGGCTGACAGGGGTAAAGGGTTATAAGGCCAAATAGTGCAGCTGGGGAGAAGCACAGCTCTTGCCTCCCCTCCTGCCCTCGGATATTTGACCGGGCAGTGCCTGACCATCTCCGACTGCTCCACGAGCACGCGGCACTCGTGCCTGCAGGCTGGAGCCCGTCCTCTGTGTTACTTACTTTGCTCCTGTGCCGCCAAGGTGTTTGCACAGAAGTGCTCTCTGTGGAGGATGCAATAGTCTCATCAAAGGTCAGGTGCATATTTTCTGAGTCCATCGAGGCCCGCGTTGGCTGCTGTGGATAAACAGCTCTGCGTTCCCATTTCAACTTCAGAAGTTCTCCAGAAGGAGAGACACATTTATTGAATTTCAGTTTGCTTGCAGAGCGAAGTCCTGTGAGTGATACACTGCTCGAGCTCCTTGCAGATGGGGACGGCTCCTCCGCTGAGCCGTGGCACGGCAGCGCTCGCTTAAAAGATGCGCAGCTCCTTTTTAAAACCTAATTTTCAATGCAATTCCACTCGGACATCATTCCCCTCTAAGCCTGCGTTAGCAATGGGTAAGGCTCCAGCAATGCACCTTCTCACGCACAGGTTTGATCTATGAGGAGAGAAAGAAAATCAAAAAGGCATTAAAGCAAGAAGCAGCACTGCCACTCCTGCCTCCCATTCCATAATGGCATTTTGGTCGCTTTGCTTTGCCTGGACAGACACTCAGCAGGTAGGAGGTGTGCAGGAAGCAAGCGGTGTTAGGCTATGTAAGGACCAGGGTGTAAAATTTGTGGACACACAGATAACGTGAACCTCGGGGTCCAGGTTGCCACCCAATATCGAAGCACTTCTGCATCATCGGAGCCATGCACGTCACTGTGACGGCAAAGGGGATAAAGCTGCAGTCTGGTCCCCCACGCCAGAAGTAGAAATTAGCTTTAAAGTCACATTTTCGATCCTACCTCAGACAGGAACTGTTGGCTGCGTCACAGTCACCATCCTCAGGATTTTAAAGTCTAATTCATCATCTATAATTATATATATATTCTTTTTCCTGGTTACAGTCAGCGTACGCAGAGATGACGTGGGCAGAGACAGCAGGAGTTTCCTTTTCTGGGTCTGCCAGTCCCACTCCCCGGCACGGGGCAGAGCTGCTGATGGCGTCAAATTGTGCAGTGATGTAAAACTTGAGTCTGTGATACCAACCCTCATCGTCGCCCCCAGACCACAGCGCACGGCACCTTACGGGCCCTCTGCCAAGTGCACAGATGTCCACGTGGCTTCTGCC